GTGCGCGTTCACGATATCCACATATATTGTCGTGGGTGCATATATCTTTCATGGTGAAAACATTTCACTGTTTTGCTTTTTTTTTTCTCCCCGAGAAAAGAAATTAAATGGAACCTTTTTTTTTGAGAGGGCATGTCTGTGTTGTTGTGTAGTACTTGTGTTGCTTCGAATAGACACTATATCTTAAGTCTCATCAAATGTCATTTTGCAACGGTTAAATGGCGTAGAACAGTAAAAGGTGAGGCTGGAATTAATTAAACGGTTTAATTGTTTGTAGGAGTAGTGTATTTTTATGTGTTTTACAATGGCCTCCAGTGGTAGTACTAGTAGAATTGATCTAGATGCAGGGGGCGGAGGCAGCGTGGGCACCCCCTGCCCTAATATACCATCAGAGCCCCATAATACCCATCTAAAATTCTAATCCATATATATATATATAGATGAGGGGCTAATATAGACTTTGTTTGAGGCTGTTAGGAAGTCAAAAAAAATTCTAAACAAACCTAAATCTCTCTTAGTTACTCTTAGTCATTTTGGTTTAGCTTTCACTATAATTTTATCCTGACTCCGCCACTATCTAGATGATTCATATTTTCTTAATTTAATAAATATATATACTGCCACCGCAACTAATCTACTGGCCAGTGGCCAGTATATGTAGAACTCATAATCATAAATTAACTGTTCATATCGATTTTTCTATTGATTATATTAATGGTAGTAGTAGATTAATAGAGACCACTCATGTTTGGTGGCCTATAATTGCTGTTCATGCCCTGCACTGAGGCCTTGTTTGGATCAAAAAGTGTGAAAAAAGTCAACGGTATCATCAATTAAAAAACGAAAGGATTATATTCATTAAATAAATCACTGGATTCTAAGTTAACACATACTATCCCTGTCCCAATATAAGTACAGTTGTGGTTTTCCGTGTCCAACGTTTAACCATTCGTCTTATTTGAAAAAAAATATAATTAGTATTTTTATCGTTATTAGATAATAAAACATAAATTATTTTTAATTTTTTTAATAAAATTTTTAAATAAGACAGACAGTCAAAAGTTGAACACAAAAATCTATAACTGCATTTATATCGGGATGGATGAAGTATGGCTAAAGAAATGTGTGGCGGGAAAAATGGTTCTCACATAATAGTAACTAGTTGCACATGCCCGCGTCATGCTTGCGGCCGGGATTGGCAGCAAAGCATCTCTCTGAAAGATTAAGTAAGCGATGTGTCACACTTCATAAACTTCAACTTGCTAAGGTCGGAGAGCCTCAAATTAGTTTCTTGTTTGTAACTCCTCACAACTGCCTTATATATCCATCTAGATGCAATTTAATTTCTGTATGTACCACACGTACGTCAGATCGATCGTTTGCTTTGATCATACAGTAGGAGGTTGTTAGCTAGGCCAGGAAATTAAACGTCGTCATGGAGAAGCTAGGAAAGTCCTGTTACTGCAAGCACACAATAATGATTGTGACTTGCTTTTACAAAGCAATATATCAGCTTTGGTTTGGGTCCGATTACAAAAGTGTGAAGAGAGTAAGGAGTCTTTTCATTTTGCATGCTAGAAATTGAAGACGACAGTCATAAATTTGAGAGAATCTATTATATGCCACTAACTTTGTCACACGTCTACGATTTACCACTGATTTTATCATATTCTACAATATGCCATCGACCTTTGCTTAACTTCTACAATTTACCATCGTCGTTCGGTTAACCTCCGTTAGCACTGTACATTCTTGTACAAATGACCAAAATACCCCTAGAACAAAAATTTCCAAAATTTGGATAAATTTATCAAAATATCATATTATGAACATAAGCTTGTAAACATCCAAAATTTGGCCTTAAACTTAAAATCTGTCATTTCAGAATTTTTATCCAAATTTTGAATTTTTTTGTCCCAGGGGTATTTTGGTCAATTTGACAAATTTGTACACTACTAACAGAGACTAACAAGACGACGATGGTAAATCGTAGAAGTTAAGCAAAAGTCGATGACATATTGTAGAACGTGATAAAGTCAGTGGCAAATCGTAGACGTGTGACAAAGTCAGTGGTATATAATAGATTATCTCTATAAATTTTCATCAACTTTGGATGAAAATTTACTAATAAATTAAATTGCTTCTTAAATAAATTATCTTTTTCCCTTTTATCTTTTTCCCTCCGTTTCAAAATGTTTGACACCGTTGATTTTTTAGCACATATTTAACCGTTCGTCTTATTAAAAAAATATTTGTGAAATATGTAAAACTATATGTGTACATGAAATATATTTAACAATGAATCAAATGATATGAAAAGAATAAATAATTACTTAAATTTTTTAAATAAGACGAATGGTCAAGCACGTACTAAAAAGTCAACGGTGTTAAATATTTTGAAACGGAGGAGTATATGTTTGTGTTGGCGTAGAGATTAGCTAAACACCAAAGCAGTGGACCATACATATCGTAATCAAATCAACAGCCATATATACATATCGTAATCAAATCATCTCATTAATTGTGCTCCTCACAAAAACCGAACCACCTGGTTTATGAAACCGGACAATCTGGATTTCACGGACTCGTTGTTAAAACCTATGAACACCCATTCGAGAGGGACCTCGTTAGAACGGTGCACCTAATTAAGGTTGCAGACCTCCTAGAGCGTCATTAATCACCGTGAAAACGAAGGGAAGACAATAGTTAGAGTTTGGAAGGGTAAAAGCTAAAGGATAAAGGAAGAGTTAAAAGTAATTTATTTGATATCATTTGTTGATTGGATATCCTCAATCGATCGGCTGACACTTTTCATATTTATAGGGTGGGGATGTCTTACCCTTTGTACACGTCAAATTTGTAATGAATTTGTGGAGAATATAAAGTTTCTTTCGGAATACTCAAAACAGCGTCATCCGGCTTATAGCAAATCGGGGCATTCCCAAATTTCATTAATTGTTAACAGCTTGTAGAGACTTTGGAGATGCCACATGGTTGTCCATTAAGAAAACACATAATGTAATTATTGCACTTCTATTTCAATTTATCCATAATTTAATACGGTGAAAGGGTTTGAATCTTTTTTAGATAATGGTGAAGGATGGTGAAAGGGTTTGAATAGTTATGTTTATAATAAAATAGGGACATACTATATAGCTATATTTCCTACTTTCTGTTAATTAGTTTTGTGCCACCTCGTATGCAACCATGGGGGATGGACGATTCTTTTGAATAATGGGGTGTGGCTCTTGTATATGAAGATATCTAGGCAGTATATCATATCGATGGAAGGTTCAATCAATAATTAATAACGGAAAAGGTTTGTCTGGTCCATATAGTGGTACAAAGAAACGTTCTGGATTTTCAATTTTTTTTCACTTCCATTTTTAAAAATTATTTTCAAGTATTCCGTCTTGTCTTTCATCATCACTGGGAAAGAAAATGTAATATAAGTATTTCTTTGTCCAGAGCAGTATTTCGTTTTTATTGAACTGTTAATTTTTTGAGTAAATTTCACAAAACGTGAACTACACGTTTTGTGATCTACGTTGCAGAAAACCACTTAAGTATATATATTTTGGTAGTGTAGTTTCACAAAACCACACTATCAATGAAAGGATTCACTCACGAGATGACGTGGTTGTTTCACATAGGACGAAGACGTGGCATCCTATTACCAGCCATCGCACAAAATTAATAGGATATGCCACGTCATCACACGGATGAATCCATTCATCGATAGTGTGGTTTTATGAAACTAAACTACCAAAATACATGTACTTAAGTGCAAAGTGTTAAAATATGTGTGGTTTTCTGCAACTTGAACCATAAAACATGTAGTTTTGTGAAATTTACTCTAATTTCTAATATTCAATTGAAATGTCTGCCAGTAATCAGTGGCATATATATGTGCTCTGTTGTTCTCCTTGGTAAAAGTACCTCTGCAATATATACTCCTAACTTATCCATTGTCCAATATATAAACAAAAACAAGAACTGAGCAACTGACCTAGCTCTACAAACATAAACAATAAGTAGTCAAATATTGATGTTGCTGTGTGTAATATGATATTCACTATGGATGCAGTGTTCACAAATTAAGGTGCCATTTCTAAAGACTTCATCTTCAGTTGGCTGCGAAATTAAATATGTTTGCTTAAAATACTGTTATTTAAGGATCAACTCTCCGTGGATAACAAAAGACTGGCAACTGGAATAAGAGATACAAGTACTAACTTATCAACAACTAGTATTCGTGCATATGCAACACACGTCTCCGCAAATACATTAGTAATATAATGATTTTTGAATGGAATGCACTTATTCATTAATTATGATATTTTTTCTTTATATCGAACAAAATCACAAAAAGAAGACATAAACCACATATATACATATATTAGGCATGCTATTTTGAAATAATTTTTACAGAGTTTAATTAGGTGGTGTTCTTTTCTCCTGAAGATAAAGATGAAGATGACGCAAAACGAGGTGATATTAACGTATGATTGATTGAGTTTTAATTATTACAAACTTGAAAATAGATTAATATGATATTTTAGAGCAACTTTCATATAGAAAGTTTTCGCATGAAACGCACCATTTAGCAGTTTGAAAAGTGTGCCACGAAAATCTTTATGTTCATCCAACTCTTGTTGTTGAAAAGAACGGGACCTTAGACATGCTAATTTCACTGATGCTACACGGATCGGCAGATGAGCTTAGGGATGTCAACAAACCGAGCTCGAGCAAGCCTGCCTGCCAAGGCTCCAAGCTCGAGCCGAGTCTAATCTGCCTTCAAGCTTTTAAGCAGGCAGGGCTCGAGCTCGGCAAGGCTCGCGAGCTCGACAGAATATAAGATAATGTATATTTTGATGATAAAATTCTATAAAAACAATAATTTTAAATTAATAATATTGAAGAAAAAGATTATGAAAACCTAAGATTAATACTCCTATATGATATCAAAATATACTAATTTTTCACATGAATATATATAATTTATCCTTGAGCTATGAACTTATATCATATAAAAAATAAAAATTACACGTAGTTAGGCTCATGAGAAACCTGAGCTCAGCTTCACAGAGCTCGATCGCAAGCTTGCAATTAGGGGGTTTAGCTCGTTAAGAGTTTGAACCGGGCTCGATTCGAGTCTGAGACGAACTGAGCTTGAGCAGCCTCGAGCTTTTTTAACAGCCCTACATGAGCTGCACAACTCTTTGGTCGTTACCTATATACACCAAACTATCTGTACACCCAAATGTAAACACAAAAAATCCCATCCAAAAGAAAGAAATGCCCTGTCAACCACTTCAACTACTTTGACACCTATCAAATACAAGGCCAACATTGGCTGAGCCAACGATGTAGTCGAGGCTCTAGACATCTAAATAGATTTTACTATCTGACAACAATTTCTCATAATGATTTTTAATTACTACACATGATAGTCGTCCGATCAGCCCGGGAGCTAGCTAGTTTAGCCATTGAAAGACCAGATGCAACAATACCGGATAAATCAAACACTTTCTTTCTAGAGAAAAATTCAGAAAATGCTCACAAAAATTACACGTCGTCTAACTACACGTATACACCTATATATATAGAAGAAAAAGAAAATCAAAAGTATTAAAAGAAAATCAGATGACATCGACGTAGGAGGAGTCGCAGTAATCATCACCGTTGGTCGCGTCGCCGTCGGGCTCGTCGAGCAATCTGGACCCTCCGATGTCGAAGCGCTCGATGGCGGCGCCTCGCGCGAGCACCTCCTCGTCCTTGTCGTCGAAGCCGACGCAGAACCTCGCCGTGAACTCGCGGAGCGGCGCCGCGCCGCCGCAGCCGGCGAGGATGGCGAGCAGCTCCTGCCTGGGGAGGTAGCAGCGGTCCAGGCACAGCGACCGGAGGCGGCCACGCAGCGGCGACGCCGCCGCCATGGCCGCGGCGTCCTCGGGCTTGACGGAGCCGGAGGTGACCCTGAGGACGGCGAGGTCGGGGCAGTGCAGCGCGAGCGCCGCGGCGACGGCCGGGAAGGAGGACGGCTTGGAGTCGAGCTCCAGGTGGGTGAGGCGGCGCCACCGCGGGAGGAGTGACGGGAGGCGCGCGTCGTCGGCGGGGGGGAGCTCGGGCAGTGCGAGCCGCCGCAGCGCCGGGCACTCGGCGGCGACGTGGTCGAGCTCCGACGAGGAGAGTAGCGGCGGGAGGGCGAGGTCGGCGACGGTGCCGGCGGCGCGGGCGACGCAGAGCCTGAGGAAGCCGGCGAGGGTGAAGCGGTGGACGCCGTGGAGGCGCGCGAGGGCGCCCGCCAGCGCGCCCCACGGCATGAAGCGGGCGAGGTGGTCGCGGCGCAGGTCGAGCGCCCGCCACAGCGATGGGTCCGCGGCCGCACGGCGCCACCCGCGGCACACCAGCGGCGCGGCGGACGCCAGCTCGTCAAGGTCCAGCCGCCGGAACACGTGCACGAGGCAGTCCGTCGGCAGCTCCGCCCACTGCGGCGGCGGCGTCGAGCGCGTCGTCCGGTCCGCCATGGCGAGAGGAGTTCGGAGCTTAGCTTAGCTAGGTAATTGGAGATTAGGCGGGGGAGGTGGGTGTGATTAGATTAGAGAGAGATGGATAGGAAGTGTGTGATTTGCGTCCGAAATAGACGCGGTGTTTATATAGAAGGGGAGGAGTGGAAGCTTCCGTTCGTTCCGACAAAGTGAGAGTGCACGTGCCCTGTCGCCTGGAGATTTGTTCTTTGCTTTTACCACTGTCTTGGAATCGCTGACTGTCATCCGCCGCCGGATACTGTGTGCATTCTAAGTGAGTATCAGACTGAACGTCCAAACGAGTACTCACTCCGTCCCAATAAGACGAATCTAGACTAAAAGTGAGAGACATGTCTAGATTTATTGTAGTATGATATATCACATCTAGGACTAAGTTGGTTTTTTTAGGGACGAAAGGAGTATTAGGCTTCCTAATCAGATATTTCTCACTGCTGGAGCTATCGAGCTAAGCAGGGTTGAAAATCTCGTTTACTCTATTTTGTATCGGGTACTGAAATTTTTGAAATTTTGGTCCGAATGAATTTGAAGTTTTGAAGAAAAAAATCATGGTACAAGTGAAATGGAACATGCAAAGGAGGGTACCGAATTTTAGAATCAGATATTTTTGGATGACGGAGCTAGGTGCTTAAGAAGTTAGATTACCATAATATTTTTACCTCTCCGTTTTGACATATAAGTATTTTTTAGATTGTTTAGCATATATATCAGTAAATCTAATTGGAGAGGCCTCTCCAATTAGTCTTAATCAGAGACACCCACGTGCTAGTACTTACTTTATTGAGCAAGTAGGGGAAATATTCCTATCATCTATGCTTCAAAAAAAATTTCTCTTAAATTACTCATCCGATTTACAATCCGATTACACTGTTGTGTTGGTAATAATTAAATCTTTACAACAAGATCTCACATGATTATATTTTGATGAAAAATCACAAATTACTTTTATAATATGTCTAAATTACTTTTAGATTTCACTAAGTTACTTCTTAGATATAAAAAAGTAAATTCAGTAAAGCCTAAAAGTAATTTACATATAAAATAGAAGTAACTTAAAAAAATAACTTTAATTAATGCCTTTTTTCATTGAACATTCATAATGCTCTGAGGTGATTACTTTTATTATTATTTTAGTTAATTCCATAATTTGTGCTGATTAATTTAATTTATAGATAGAGTCATGTTTTTATCTCTACAACGGATTTACTTCAAATGACATGCCAAAGTTAACTTGGTTTTGTTCTAAGTTACTTCTATAATATATGTAAATTACTTTTAGTTTTTACTGAATTTACTTTTATATATCTAAGAAGTAACTTAGTGAAATCTAAAAGTAATTTAGACATATCATAAAAGTAATTTGTGATTTTTCATCAAAATATAATCATGTGAGATCTTGTTGTAAAGATTTAATTGTTACGAACACAACGGTACAATCAGATTGTAGATCGGATGAGTAGTTTAAGAGAAAATTGTATTTGAAGTATAGGTGGATGGTGACTCTTATAGATGGAGTGGTAGCTGGTTTAGACAAACCAGCTACCACTAGCTGTGTAGTTACATCCCATATATATACTCCCTCCGCCCAAATACATCGACGTATAATGGGAGTGCATTGCATCTAGACCCATGCTATTAAAAATCTCTCCCGTAATCCATTTGCTCAGGATCGATCTAGCAGTGTTGTCGCTTTGATAGCCCGCACATAAAAAAACGTAACACTTTCAATATCAAGTCGCAACATTATCCTTCCATATATGAAACATTGAACTCTATGACTAAGAACATCCAAAAAAATTGTAAAAAAAACTAAAATGTGCAACAATCAAAATTTTAGTTTTATATTTTACTTCTCATTCATAAAACATTATGTTTCAACTGTTGAAACATCAAGCAACCCAGCCTCTCATCTTTTATAGGTCGAAAACAGTAAATAGATAAAAAAAACAGAAGCAATAGAAAAAAGAAATAAATCTAAGAGAAAAGAGTCTAGAAAATTGTTACCTCGTGCACTATGAGGCTGGTGTTACAATTGAGATGGCCTTGCTCGGCCAATGCAGTGGCAGAAGGCTGCCCCCGAGCTTGGCTTTGGGGATAATGCCAAGGTGGTGGAAATTGGGGATGAGAGCGAGGAGTGGTGCGTCTGATTTTTGTTTTTAATCTCGCGTTAGGCTCCAAGTTACATGCATGATATTGACGAACATTTCTAGATGCATAAAAATGCTATCAAATGATTTATTTTTTTTTTGTTAAAATGGAAACTAACATACTCCGGTCCTTTTAGAACCAATGAAATTGTTGTCCAGCTGCGCATGCACTATGTAGTGTCCTTTGTGCTCCCCTTGATGTTGCTGTATGAGCTGTTTGATGGCCTTCTTTGTTGATCGATTGTGGTACCTCGTAGCTTATATGTCTGCCAGCAACAACATATATATCAAGGATGATACATCGGTAGCTTAAATTCTTGCTAAATGATACTCCAGCTAGCCACTGTAGAAGGTTAATTACTGCTTGTAATGCAAACACCAAATATTATGAACACAGGTTGTTCATCACATTCTGCATATATAATACTCCCTCCGTTTTACGATATAAGTCATTCTAGCATTTTCCACATTTATATTGATGTTAATGAATCTAGACATATATATATATCTATCTAGATTCATTAACATCAATATATATGTGGGAAATGCTAGAATGACTTACATTGTGAAACGGAGGAAGTAGTTTAGGATTCTTTTCATACCAAAAGGTTTAGGGACAATTAATATATATCCCTTTCACAAAATAAGGCTAGGCACAACTCAACTAATAGTGTAAAAGAATCCAACACAACAACCACAAAATGGTCCGATAAGGGACACCTACTAATGATCTTCTTTAAGCACAAAATTGAGCTACGATAGACCTAATTAAATCCTGTATCCGTCAAATTTTGGGAGTAATTAGAGTTTGAATGGCTTTTAGCTCAAACTTGTTTACTTAATTATTTCATTCTACAGTGTTTCTTCTCCATCTAATTAATCAGCAAGTATAGCTAGTACTGTAGCGTCTTGATTAAATTGTTGGACAAAATTATTGTTAAGAGACAAGAAACACGTTTCACACAGAAGCAGACCAACGTTAGGTGAAGCCTACCAGATGAGAAAGCCTTTTTTTTTTTCTGAATCCTGCTTGGAACAGATCAGGTTGACTCGGTCCTGCATGCAGAAGATTGCACAAGGAAACGAGGAGGAGGTTGCCACGGTCAAAATTTAATCTAATCGTCCTAAATCTAATTTATCGTCGATTGGTACACGGTGAAATTAACGTTTTTGTTTCATCTCAGTTTATCCTAAATATATTGGATAGTACCCTTTTTTTTTTTGTAATTAGCAGGACTTTTGTGCACCATTTAAAGGACAAATATATATCAATAAGAGGGTGATGAGTTTTCCGTGTTAACACCAACCTTCAATCGTCACTTTTAAGAGATTTTCAATACACTTGTATTTAGTGGGTGTGACTTGTGTTGTGTGGTTTATGCATGAGGCCCTCAATTCGATTTGGAATTCGTGGCTCCCACAGCTTGTAGAATCATCGAGGCAAATGGATGGTACACACACCATCGTGAAGAAATAATATAGCAAGAAAGCATGATACTTTCATAGCGTGGATGCTTGATCTATCTATAAGACAAATCTAAGTAACAAAAAAAGACTTTTGCATTAGTTTCCTTGGTAAAATTCTACATGTCTCTGGAATTTTGCTCTTGTACTTAACTATTTGGAACTCAACCATCTTAAGGGCATGTGATTCCTGAGGACAAGAGAAGTTGGGCAGCTCATTTGGAATTATGGAGGAATTTTGCAAGATTCAAATCCTGTAGAAAATTGTCCTATTTATACTTTGGAGAGCTTTCAACTGATAAATATGCCGACGATAATTTACTTTAAACGCAATGACAAGCTTTACACATTGATTTTGACAGGGCATATGCACATTTCTCTTTTTGAGAAATTTTCAATATTGAAGCTATTGACTTTGTGTGAAATCAAAATGTGTTTTGATTATTATTTTATGATAAATAATTGGCATATGAGATAATTGGTTTTGGCATTTATAGATTATTGAAGAAAGTGGTGCTTTGTGGTTTGTGGGGTCGATCCGGTCATACCGACACGTGTTGCGTGGCGGCCAACCCGATGGTCTGACTGACTGGTTCTTGATTGGAGTCGGTTTTGGTTTCAGGTTGTTGGTTTATTTTGTAAAAAACACATAATAACATTATAAACATGAGAGGAAAAGGAAGATGAAGAAAATTACTTTCAACTGAAGAATATGCTGATGATAAATTGCTTCGAACGCAATGACTTGCTTTAGACATCAATTTCGACGGAGCATGCACATCTTCCATTTTAGGGAAAAATTTTCCTTGAAGCAATATGTTTTTTTTCATTAGAAGTATAAATTAAGATTAATTGAAACATGATATATGCTAGCCATCCTATTTGGAGAAAACAAAGAACATATCCCCCATGTCTTTCTTGCTTAGCATCTCTTTATTCGATATGCATTATCTTATATGTATTTCCCAGTGTCATAATTGTGATAAAAATATTAAAAACAAGTCGCAGAGATGTTTTTACAAGACTAACATACACAAAACAAATAAACAACTCAACATTTTTTTTATCATAATGTATAATAGATTTTAAACTTATTAAGTGATTCAAGATATAATATAATAACAAGCTCGCAATTGTTGACAGTAGGTAACTATATCCATTGTCCATTACCTTGGCCGGATTAAAAACAAATGTAATTCTGCTTCCGTTTTTTCATACAACATATAAATATATAAAACATAATACTCAAAGTATAATAAAATTAAAAAAAACTAACTTTTGCTACCATATCGTTGTTGCTTGACCTGATAGCTTGGTGACATATACACACACAAAAAGTAGCCAATGTCTTCTAGAAGATAGGCTTCGTGCACTTTGTAAGTATAATAACAAACAGATTGCAAATTGGGTCCCACACGCCGCACAATTTCCCAACAAATTAATATTTGTATTCTCCTTAGGTCCCTACAAAATCGAATTGATCAA